CATTACTAAACTTCTCGTCTCAGTCTGTTAGTCTGTTCCCACACAGCCAGCATTACTAAACTTCTCGTCTCAGTCTGTTAGTCTGTCCCCACACAGCCAGCATTACTAAACCTCTCGTCTCAGTCTGTTAGTCTGTCCCCACACAGCCAGCATTACTAAACCTCTCGTCTCAGTCTGTCCTCCTCCCACTGTCCCTGTCGCATCCTCTACGACGTAACATTCCAGCTCTAATCAGTTCGGTTATAGTGAAGTGTAAATAACATTGACTTATATTATTATATCACTAACCATTTTGTGAGCATGATGAATCCTAAAATGTTATCTTTAAATATCTCATTCACTGTTTTGGGTATTCCATTTAATCTTGATCTATTCTCATGCTTTGTTTTATTGTTTAATTATGCGACTTATTAACATCAAACTAGCGAAATTCATTTTACCTCAAAACCATCCTCCCTTTAAAAAGTTGTCTTTCTTACTTATAATGATTTGAAAGAATCCGCCAGTTTTGTTATTTCCTTTTATTTCCGGATGGTATCATCGGACACTCTAACCAGCGAACTGAAATTTCTCTGCGGATAGAATAAAATAGTCAATATCTGTGTCCACTTGCGTCTTGCACTGTACTAGCTTTTACAAAGGCCCCACCATCCTTCTGCTAATATGCCACTTTTTTTTACTAAATTTTAAAATATCGTACGGTTATACGGTCTCAGCCCAGCCGTATCCCTCCTCATTAAGAATATATACAAATCAGCTGATACACTCTCAGACACACATACAAAACTCAACAAAGTTAACCAAGATACTAGACCCCGCCACAATCTCGGTGATCACTGATCAAGCTACCCAGCCCTGCACTAATTTTACCCACACAGTTATGAGAACTAACAACACCAACTCCTGCATTTTGGATGTAAGTGGGATACAGCTTAGGTAACTACACCCAAAGTGCGCAGTTCTGTAGCACGCTGAACAAGAGAGCAACAGCTGCTTCTCCAACAAGAACGTACGTGTTTTAAATACAGATTAGGATCGCGATTAGAGCAACCCGGCTCCACTGAACACCATTGCCTTTATCCTCCCGAATCTGTGGCAAGTTAGATAACCGACCAGGACTGCAGGCAAGGTTACAGACATGATGACTAGCATGTAGAGGAACTCTGTTTTGGAGATGTAACTTGAACTGTTATCCTCAAATCACGACGTGATGAGCAGGATTGTTACTAGGAAGTAATCTCCCTCTCTCGGGTATCAAGTCCCGTACCTCCTCCACGTGTTCTCTCAGCTCGTACTTTGGGGCTACTTTATTGTTCATTATAAAGATCCTGGCAAGGGCGTCCCTGAGTTCTGACACTTGCCCCGTATAAATACCGGGGACTCCTCTCCACTCTAAAACAGGTTGATATACAAGAAAGAACCGTCGGAGCTGCAGTTAAGAGCACTACAGCTCTCCAACAGGACTGGTTCATGAAGAACAGCCGTGTAAACATAACACCCTCCTAAAACATCCCCCACATTAATGACATGGCAAACGCCCGCTCCTTTATCGGTACTATCTCCATGGAGAATGTACTGACTGCAGCTGTGTAATGTGTATTAACCTTTTGTGAAGCCCACCATTGACCTGAAATAATAACTAGCTTTATTTACAAGCTTTACACAATACATAACAGGATAATGTACGTGTAAAATTATCACATATGCCTCTCATCCCCCGGCCGCGGAAAGGGGGTTATGTGCTAATAAATAATCTCAGTGTGCTTTGTGTGCCGAGAGAGAGTGACTGTATCACTGTATTGTTTCTATGTGGGTTGCTTTGTTTGTAGTGCCACTTGGTGCAGTAGTGGTGGTTGTGAATGTTATTTTGGGGTAAAGGGTACTTGTGACCCGCATAATGTATGGAATATGTATTGATTGGGATGGACACTTACTGGTCCCATGACTACAGAGTACAGACTAACGATTTATATAAGCTATGGAAGCAATATGAGAGCAAGGATACCCGAATACAATGAACTCAGGAGCGAAGGCTGAAAAAATGGAGAAGAGTACGAGGTAACATGATAATGAGAAGTCTTCTGTATACGTCACTTAACTCACCACCTGAGAAGAGATCTGTAAAAATAGTTTAACAACATGATGGATCATGGATGTTGTTTAAAAATGGCCGAGTTTTTATCAAGCATGATCTAGACAGTAATCGGTGTTAATTTTAATCTCTCTATATAATAAAGTCTGCATAATAACGAACCTACAACACTACTGATGCCACCAGCACCATAAAGGGGACCCTCCTCCAACAAGCTAAGTTCCCACTTGCATCAGGGTAGATAAGATAATACCACTAAGATGCTAAGAGCCATTTTAGCCGATTCATTCAGGTATATCAGGCCGAAGAGTGTGAGGTAGAGCCATTGGAATGTTCCAAAACTGCATTCCTCTATATTAAGGTCGTTTATTGCTGTCTCTCCTTAATGTGGTAGCGGGTCCTAATAAAGTGGTTAACAGTTACACATGTGCTGAGTAGTCTGGTTTTTATCTCCTCTCTGTTGGGTGGTCACACAATGTGATGTCCCTTACCTAATCTCAACATAGGAAACTGGTAGAAAGGTGGTTAGTAAGATATAGAAACATTGTGTAATGTATAACGATTATACATTGTATAATGTATAAACACGGGGATGTGAAGGTAGACTAAATGACTCATTACTCATTAGTCAATGTACAATTGATGTACATATAATGTACTTTACGTGAATAGGCTTTCTAGAAACCCCATTTCATATGTGTTGAATATAATATATTCGACACCATATTATTATTGCTAATGCAATATGAAACTGTGAATATATAACAATCAAATGAACTATCAATTCCGAAATATATTTTGCCAATTTGCAGGGCAATACACTTACTTTAAGTTGATTGTCTGAAATCTCGTTACCATGGTGACCATTAGGTACTGGTAACGTCCTCCCCTCTTCCATAATGGAAGCAGGAGAAGCCGTAAGATATTGGTGATAATATCTAAATATAGATGTCAACCAGAAAAGGTCATAAGCAAACAGACGAGTCTTCTACACGTAAACTGTGCAAGTGAATTCTGGTTGTTGGTTTACACAGTGGTGTGTAAAATGTAGGTGTGACATGATACACAGATACATGATAGAAACTGCCCATATTTATCGACGTGAAAATACAATATTATACATTATAATACGGATATATTTAGAGATATGCGGATATTGTGTCTGTAAACGCGTGCCTAATTTTCCGTCCAGGTATTTTAAAGTCCAGGTATTTCCGAGTCGATTTTCTAATTCGTTTGGGAGGGAATGAAACTGAAGTGATGTTACTCATGGTAGTAGAACTTCCGATTACAACATTTTCATATCTTCAATAAAGATGTCCGATTAAGTATAGAAAACTGAATAGCATTAGGGTAGTTATCCTTGCCAATATTTCGAAGAGCAGTCTGGGTGCAGCATTTCTGTGCAGCATACTTACATCTTAATTGGGAACTTTTTGTAATGTTTTAATCAATCGGAAGTTCTGATAAAAATTAAACCTTGAAAAGCGATATGTATCGGTACCTGAACACAGTGGCGTAACGAAAGGCCCTGCTGACCCCGCTGTGCAGGGGGCGCCGTCTTAGGGGGGCGCCAAATCGTCGTTTGAATGTGGGACAATTTCGAAAACTTAACTAAAGTACTAGCAAAACTGCGCGTTTTGCTCTAGATACACACTTTTTTAGAGATTTTACCGGCGTATTCTTTAAAATCACCTAATTTGTTCTATTTTAGGGAGGGGGCGCCAACAGGGGGGCGCTTTTTTCGGCAGGGGGCGCCAACAGGCAACGTTACGCCACTGCCTGAACAGTCACAAAAATTTGCCTATGCAATGCAACCTCCAGGAATTCAGAAGAAACTCGTATTTTGGGGCCGATTAGTCTAATTTTATCTACCTGAGCTGTGACGTTTACTTCGTCATAGTGCTTCCTTGCGAAACGTGGTGCACAATTACGGAATGTGCCACGCGCGGTAACAGTAATGACGTAGCGCGCGGCGACTCGGCATAAATTTGTAGGCCTCTTAGCGCAAATAAGGTGCGCGCGCGTCATTAATTCGCGCGCCTTATATTATCGTGTCTACATACATATTACATAATATCTCCCCATCCTATCGTCACGTTATTTTGCATGTCATAGTAGAGGGCTGTTTAATTCCTGTTTAATTCCTGTATATAGTTATCTCACTATCTCAGCCGGTCAGCCTCTGAACATCGTAGACTTTTGGGTGGGCTCAGATTAACTGCAATGGCCACATATATGTACAATTTATGAAGCGACATGTGCCAAAAAATGCCCAGTTTTCCGTTCTTACGATGCGAAATTCGTTCAATCTCACATCGCAACCGAAGATCTAACACAGATGACAGATACACCTACATTATTAGATAGGAACTGTGTGGCCGGAGATAACCTATGAAAATCACAAACATCATTATTTCAGCTGGCAAATCTAAAACTTCAGTTATTGTACTGCGGCCATTTTAAGTGCTGTGTATCCGAATCGTCTGTTTAAGTTGTGAAGCACGGGTAACGAATCTAATCTATTGAGTTACTATCTGTGGTGATTGCAAAGAAATTCATTGATAAAAGATTGAACAAGTAGTTTCATGAGGTTGAAGAAATAATAAACGATTTTCAAAAAAAACAATTATGATTAGGAAGATAAAAAACAAGTGAAATCAGAAATGAGAATGATAAAAACAAACAATTAATTAAGTTATGAGATATTTATCCTTTCCAAATAAACATCTTGCCATTATTTGGTGAAATTATAAATTTTCAAGTTAAATTGAAACCATAAACTCATGGCTACCGATTACATCAAACAACACAATTCAACAGAAATATTTAGCATACTTTCTGATAAAAAATAATCTAAAACTTTAAAAAAAACAATAGGACACATCTGGTGTCAATATTAAGTCTAGTTCATTTAACTTTCTTCATGTTTATCATGTTTCGCGGCACCGAAACCCCAGCTGAATGCATTTTCCACAAAGTTCCTAGGATGGTATATGTCAATAAATCTGTATTACTCTGTAACGAGTACAGGTAGAGCGGCAGAGTCGATTATTGATGAGACAAAACATCGTTTAAAAGGTGGTTCAAACCCTCTTTTGCTATCCAACCATTTATCCTCTCACCTGTGGATGCTCTTCTTTTGGCTTATGAGTATCTGACTTCTCCAATGGCACCTGTTTATACGGATAGACAGTAATGTGGCACCTTTTACACTCCTGTAGGAATACTTGCGTTGAGCTTTACCCTTCATTCTCAGTGCCGAATCTTGCCTTTTCAGGCCAAACAAAGTTATAGGGGGTCGCCAAAAAACCTCACCTTTTTTAGGTATGTAACAAGAAAAATGTCGTATGAAGGGACCAAAATAATTTGGCATGGACGTTGTTACGCCACTACAACACCGCCCACCCCTCTTGGTGAACAACTTTTCTACTAACACCCAATACTCTATAATTAATAATAGAAGACTTGGGGAATATGCAAAGTATCGGAGCGTTAAAAAGATTTTTTTAATGGTAACCTGCCAAGTGTTGGCCCAGGAATTGCCACTCATCCACCCTTTATTGCATGCAGAACAGCGGAAGTACCCAAACGTTCTTTCCTTGCCTTGATATGGTGTCAGATTCTGGGAGTTCTTCTTCTGGGAGTTCTTCTTCTTCTTCTACAATTAAAAAATGGTTATTTCAGGTTACATTACTTTAGCTGTGCAACCTTGAAATGGTTAAAAGAATCCTTCAATTAACTCTCGATTTGTACTGCCAATAAAGATGGGAATTCATAACATATCGTAAATTACACAGAGAGGTAAATAAATACGTCCCTTCTTCGAGCGCTCTTCATAAATTAATGATTCAAAATTTGGCCGCTTAATTTCTTTAAAGGCCTCTAACGTATATGGTATAGATTAGATTTACCTTTCATGTAAAGTTAGTCTTGTTCAAAGATATTGATACTTTACCAATTTATGGGCCAAAATATATGAAGTATGAGTTCAGGGGACTATTAACTGGCTTATCTTGTAAATCTTAACGAAGAATAATAATCTACTAATTGTAGGTATATTAAAGTATATTAAAATGTAGGTTTTTTTCCCGATTTTGACCTGGGGATATACTTTTATATGGTTCCCCCCCCCCCCCCCCCCCCCCCCCCCCCCCCCCCCCCCCCCCCCCCCCATATATTAAACAATTTATGTACTTACCGAATTTGGCATCGTTTGTGTAGGATCGATCACTAAAAAAACAAAGAACTGGTTTCCACCGACTAAAATTTCTAACGAAACAATTTACAAAAAGGTTTGACACGCAATAAACCCATTATTTGTGATGCACGCGCGCCACAATGAACTGTGTGACGTCACAACTCGCTTGGCTGTCACAAACGCTGGCAAGGTTACTCGGATGTGTGCAAGTATAACCGTATAACGTAACCGTATAACGTAAGTTATAATTTATAGCTAGTCATAATTTGGGTATTCTGTGTATGGTTAATTATCATCTTCGATACCTTTGTCTTCGAGAGTCTATTAAGTGCTACGAAGCTGCTTGGTGAACAAATAAAACAATCTTTTACCAATATCGTCAAAACTTTACAAGTGTTTAGATTCACAAAATACCGTTCTTGAAACAAAATGTCTTTCAAACTCTTTCTTAAATTAGAAAGGTCATACGATTCTGTAAAACAATTGTATCTTTATATCTTATTGCACGTTAATTTTTCTGGAAATATCAGCTGCAGTAAGGTTTTAAAAAGTTACAATTAGTCCAAATCATCAGAACACACAGTGTCCGTATTACAAGAAAAATCCCCAAAACGGAAAAAAAATCTGACCAATGTACATTGTCCTGTTCCGAATTATGACGAAGTCCACCGTACTGAACAGTGTTCTGTAGTGTCCTCTCCCGCTCACTGATTAGTAACGTTTAGTAACAGTTTAGTAACGGTCTCGTCCAAATTTCGTGCAGGGGTAGCCCAGCCTCTTACATTTCCCGCACAGCTCCTGAGATAAATTTGAGTCAGGTGATCAGTATGACTGTTTAACTTTTGCCTAGAAAAAGCAAATACTCTAATTTCTCACTTGGAATGTGATTCCGTTACAGAATAATATTATGATAACAAAATAACTTTTCTACTTCTTATCACAGCTAACTTTAAACCCCTGAACATACTACTTCACAGAGTTAGGTTTTTGCATTCGAGTAAAACATCATCAAATAAAACGTCGAGCAGGGGGGAGGGGGGTATCAAGCCGGTCCTTTATGATCCAAAACAAATTATAACAAATTGATTAATCATAACATTACCTGTGGGTGTGAGACTGTAGGATTGCACTTGTCCTCCTTGTTTCCAACTCTCTCGAGTGGCTTCTGTTCGTGTGGAAACACCATTATGTTGCACTTTTGACACATCTGTGGAAGTTTAGCTGTGATGTGACCTCAAATAAAGCTTAGATTTCAGGTTCACTTTTAAACTAACTTTTGTCTGTTAAGTTTAAACTCAATTTACTTTGTGGAACCGTGTTCCTTAATTAATGTATTTAATGTATATCTACAATCAAGTGAATTTAATACAAACTAACTTGTCCGGTATTAGCCCAGGAATTGCCGCTCTGCCAGCCTCGTCTACAATTCGGACACTGAAAGTGACCAAACATTCTAGCACTGCCTTGGTATTCAGTTTTACCGATCTGAAATATGCAGAAATAAGCGTACTGTATGGTATATAATTTCTTGGTATGGTGCAAATCACAGAGGGCAATGAAATAAGAAATTCGATAACCTGTAAACAGAATATACTTCTAGTTCTTTGCACATAATATGCTCACAATAGGTCTTGTTATCTATAACTTGAATGTGCAGCAAATAGAAGAATTTTCAAAGCACTGACAGAATAAAGCGTAATAAAAACTCACTGAGTCGGACATGATGAGGATTAACTAATAGTTGTATTGAGATAACAAAATAAAGGAAACCGTGCGAAGTGAGCAGAGTGAGTAGTTCTGCAGTATTTATAGGCGGTACTCCCAGAGCTACCCCGTTTGGCTGGCAATTGGGCTGTCTATCTCTCTCCTCGTGAGTTGTGACCTCATCACTTTGTTGCAAGTACTCGGTTGGCTGGCAGGGACACTGGCTACTTAGGAAGCTGTTTATCCAGTCTTGGCAGCTGACTTGCCAGCCATCCGGAATTGGGAGGAAATTATCTTGTGCAGATTACTTTCACATTAGTCACGTGACTTAGTAACACGCAGGTTTATTCTAGAACCTTCTATGACATTCAGAATTTATTTTGCTGTATTATAAGCTGGTTTCCTGCGAACTTGAACTACTGAGTAATGAGTAGCCGTGTCAGTTATTCTGCCTGCTAACCGACTGGCTATATTAAATATCTTTTGCCTTGTTGAATTATTAATTATTATATATATATATTATATTATTTTCCCTTTGCGATCTCGCTTGGTTTCATACAATTATAAACTAAACGTATTCGGTATTGCAGTTAAAATTCTTTGAATATCATATATCAATTGACCTTATGAAATTGTTACATAAAAATTCTGAAATTAAAAATCGAATAGATAAAAATCATGCAGACAAAAATCTGAAATATTAAAATTATCTGAAAAAATTAAATTTTGAAGAAACAGTCCTCTGGAAAAAATACCAAAACGGCATCCACAGTTTATATCTCATAAGTATATATTATGTATCAAACTTCAATCTGTTAATGTCAATGTCATGACTAAAATCGACGGTGAAATGTCCACACCTCAACTACTAACTAAGCTTTACCTCAAATTGTTCATTGGCATACGTAGGGTGCAAATTTGCACTTATCATTTATGATAAGTATCAATATCAGCTACATTTTTCTGCCACACTGAAATTGTCCACAAGGATAGCCCAATCTGCGGCATTTTCCGCACCTCTTTCTACCCCAGTTCTCCTGAAAATTGGGATTTTATAATTTATTAATCACCTAATATACATAGAGGGGCAGAAAATCGACAGCGATTTTGTGCCGCTCTAGAATTTTACCGATTTAGTCATATCAATGGCAATATTTGGAATGTTAGTTCGTTAAATCGTAGTGTGGTGAATAAAGACAATGATTTATTAGCGTTTAGTTAAACTGGCGGTTTTTCTTATCGCTAATTATCAATATTACCTCAGGCCTTTTTGGGCTAACATCTCTATTGACCTCGTTGTTTTCCACCTTTCCCAGCGAGTTCTGCTCGTAAGGGTACACTGTTATCTTGCACTTTTTGCAAGTCTAAAATATAAAGTAAAAGCGAATAAAGGATACATTATACTTTTCTAACGGTCGCAAGATTTTTTATAATCATTCAAAAACTATTGTCAAATTACCAATCAACCCCCCCCCCCCCCCCCCCCCACCCCTTGACACAAAATAAAGTGAACAAACCTGGCCTTGGTTTGCCCACGAGTGGCCACTTTGCCATGTCTGCTTACACTTTGAACATTGAAAAAGACCAAAAACCCTGTTAGGTCCCTGATACGGCGTCTTTTTGAAATTCTGTGATGAAATAGGAAATCTTGTATCATTGGAGACTTTTTAGTTGTAACTTGTAAAAAAGGAGGCCTAAACATACTCAACGTCAAAATAACAAACCGAGTACATCACTATGAGATAGTTAGAAGATTCAGGATTTATTATATTTGGCAATCCAGGCTGCTCACTTTTGAAGAGGAAGACATCGCAGATCAAACACGGAATGAACCAAGTATATATATTATGTATAACGAAACAAAAAGTGAGGGAATAATATGCGTACGATGATCTGTTGAAATATAAACCTAAACACCCAAGTCTTCTGACATTATTAATCCGATAAGCTTAATATTAATGTAAAATGTTGTTTCTCATATTTCCTCAAGTTATCAAAACAGCCGGTTGGCTGGCAGGAAAGCTGGCGGCAACAGCTTTAATTTATGTCCTTCTAGAACGTTCTAGTAGAACATAACAAAAGAGCTCAACTCATTGTCCCAAAGTGCTCATTATGTAATTATCTAGCTGTTCTGTAGTAGAATGAACATTGAACATTCATATTTTAGTCTCCTCTTGTGTTATGGGAAATATACTATACTTATGTATAAGCTAATGTCGGTGTATAACAAAGATAGCAGTGACGCTCTAGTACACTGCTAAGACGGGTATTATGTACGCTTTTTATTGAATTGTAACGTCCTTCGCATGAGAAGTGTCTTAGGTAATGAAAATTGTAAAATTTAGCATATTATGCAATGCATAGATAAATAAATCATTATCTGCAGTACATAATGTTCAATATCTGCCATGAAGTTCAATATCGTCTCCGAAGATAAAAAATAACCATGAACGTAACTATATTCATCACTCTCAGGGAATCCTGTCGTTTCTAACCCTAACTCTACTCCTTAAAACTCCTTATTTTCAGGGTATCCTGTCGTTTCTGTCAGCCCCGCTGGTTGGAGCTTTGTCAGATGTATGGGGGAGGAAGTCATGGCTGCTAGTCACCGTTTTTTGTACCTGTCTTCCCATTCCTCTTCTTAAAATCAGCGCTTGGTGAGTTACATAATGTTACATGGTGTTACATAATGTTACATGATATATACTAACCGCTCTCTGGAGACACTTCTATGCAAGTGTGCTTATTTATAGCTTTATAGTCTTCAGAAAATGTTCAAACTTCAATTCTCATCCACTACAGATTTCGGTTCCCCCACCTTTATGGAGAATATTCGTCACGACGGTTTCCCATGTGCCGACATAAAAATTAAGTTAAATTGTACGTACGGTTCGGATTTCAATTTTTCAAAATGACCTTACACACAAACTCCCCGTCTCCAAAACACCCAATTGTTTAAAATCCCTAATTTCCAGGTGGTATTTTGCTGTTTTCTCTCTGTCAGGAGTGTTCTCTGTCACCTTCTCCGTGGTGTTTGCTTACGTGGCGGATATTACTGATGACAATGACAGAACGGCTGCGTATGGCATGGTAAGATAACGAGTTACCTTAGTTCCCAAAAATTTGTGTGCCATTATATTGAGCACAATTTATTTGAGCCCGAAAAATTTGGGCAGAAAATTTGAACTCATTTGGGCGACCGAAAATTTGGGCACAAATTCTTCGAAAAATGAACAATTTTCCACTAAAATTTCAGTTAGATATTTGCCTTAGTTCATTATTATTCCTTATTATTCCAGTCATTTTGCTTTCAATTTTAAGCATGTAGGTGGTAGTCTGAGTTGTTTCACATTATGAAATTTACGATCTGCCCAGTAACTACTAAAAATACAGTGATGATGGCACAGTACAAAATGATAGCCTCACCAGATGGTCGAAAGGTTTGGCCAGTGTCCAGTTCTTTGAGAAAATCCTTCTTCCCCACATAGAATCAGTTAGAGCCTCCATCAACAACCCTGAGCAGAAAGCGCTACTGATATCAGATGTGTTTCGGGCCCAACACACACAGACACTAAAAGATCTGATGACAGCCAACAACTGCATCCTACAGAAAGTTCCAGCTAATATGACCCATCATGTACAGCCCCTGGAAATATCTATCAATGGACTGGCTAAGAAATTCATGCGCAATAAGTACGAAGATTGGTACGCGAAAAACATAGTGTGTCAGCTCAATGGAGGGGTTTCATCAGACAATGTGAAAATTAATATCCGCTTGACAGTGATCCGTGAAGTACACGCTCGTTGGATCAACGAACTTTTTGTATATTTAAAAGGGAGGCCAGATGACATAAGGAAAGGCTTCGAGAAGTCGGGTATAACTGATGCTTGTAGATCCGACTTTACGGTGGATGATAATCCATTTGCAGATCTTGTTTAAATCTCTAGCTATCCGTACCTCTATCCATTTGTTTTATTAGTAGCTGTTAGCTATACCAGTTATTTCTATTCATTTAAAATATAAGCCTTTTTTCTTGGTCAAGCCATGAATGACAGATTAGAAAACTAAAATTTCAAATATTATTTCACTTGGATATGAAGAAAAAGCCATCTTTCTATAGATTTCAGGGCCACAGGCCAAATGCCAAAAGTTTGGTTAGCAAAAAATTTAGCAGACGGAAAAGATTTATGCAATTAATTTGGTCTGCAAAAAATTTGGGCGAGAGGCCCGCTCAAATTTTTTGTCGCCCAAATTTTTGGGAATTAAGGTATATTGGGTTAATTACCAAATTAGTCCATGGATTAATCATTTAATGAACGTGGGTAGGTTATCAACAATCTACTGTTCTACAGGAACATCGGGTCAAAATGTGCGCTTTGTCTGCGATTATTTAAGTTCAAATTGAACCCAAACTCTACAGAAACAAGAATTGCGCCGGTTAGCGGACGCTAGATTTCCATCAACCGTAGTGATTGCCATGCCTTTTAAAATTTAAAATTAAAATTAACGATAGTTTTATGTTGGTCAAAATATTAAATAATGGTTCTTTATTCACCATTCTTGGGGCGCTACGGAACACAAAATGGAGGGGTTGCCATTGTCAATTAGTCAAATTCTAAAAGTTAAATGACCGAACACCGTAGCGCCTGCGCCTGTGTGGTGATATGCAGTTAAAAGTCGTGAAATCCGTAGTAGGCAATGCAACTCATAATAACATTTATGGTCCATTTCGTATAACTATAACAAATCAATCATTCACAACAAAACGAGAAGTTAGTATGTTGTACCACATCAAGATCAATGATCAAGTAAATAAAAGCGTGAGCTACTTAACACATGTAATGTATAAAATCCGGGAAATCGCTTTTTATCTAAATCAATTGGCGCCGCGCGCAATCGAAAGTGTGATTCGATCATCGTCAAATCGTGCAAACGTATGCGGAGGGTAACCATGGCGACTACACCATAACTGCTCTGCGCGCGGAGAATATGCATTAAAATAACGTATGCGGAGGGTTATCCATGTTTTGCTTTGTGACACCGTACGAAAAACTTAGCTACCTACTATACCCATTCTCAATTCCTTCCACTTCTATACATCTTATGCCTTTTTAAAGAAAAAGACAGTTGATGTAAAAAATTGATGTAAATGTAATCATCAACTTGCCCACTCAGGTGACAGCAACTTTCTTCGCTAGTTTCATCGTGTCTCCCGCTCTGGGATCGTACGTTGCAGAAACCTATGGAGACGTCAGTGTTGTTCTTCTTTCAACAGGTGAGGTAACTTAAATAACTAAGTTATAACTTAGATAACTACATGCGACTCACGTCACAGGGGTGTTGGTATCCTGATTTAGCATCCAAACTGCTCATGCTGGTGGTGCGCAGCAGAATTGTTAAGTAAATAATGAAAAGTACTATGCACTACAAGTGTGTCACGTCCATGGCCGTGACGTACTTGTTGTTACTTGTTGTTTTTCTTCAATTAGCAATGCAACAGAGGCACCATACAATTGAGGTGGGTACGTTAAACTTAGTCACGCTAGTCGCTAATAAACACACAATGTGTTCGAATCTTATGTTGTAAAAGAAATTCCATGCGGACAATTCTACATTCTACAATTATGTAAATTATCTTGAATTGTCAGGAAACTCGGTCACGTAAGACATTAACCGGCCAGTTGGTAGATCACCGACCGGCTATAAGCCGGCTACTAACCGGCTATAAGCCGGCTTATAGCCGGCTATAATTTTTATAGCCGGTTAGTAGCCGCTTACATTTGTTGTTGAGCGACGGCTATTAGCCGGTTATAAGCCTGCTATTAGCCGTTTTGGTATTAAAAGTGGTTATAAGCCGGTTATAAGATATTAACTCAACTACATCGTACTGAACGATAGTCAGGAGCCGGCTATAAGAAATTCAGTGAAAACGGCTATTAGCCGGTTATAAGCCGGCTATTAGCAGTTTAGGTATCGAAAGTGGTTATAAGCCGGCTATAAGCCGGTTATAAGATATTAACTCAGTTCAGTACGATGAAGTTAAGTTAATATCTTATAGCCGGCTTATAACCACTTTCGATACCTAAACGGCTAATAGCCGTTTTCGCTGAATTTCTTATAGCCGGCTCCTGACTATCGTTCAGTACGATGAAGTTGAGTTAATATCTTATAACCGGCTTATAGCCGGCTTATAGCCGGCTTATAACCACTTTCGATACCTAAACGGCTAATAGCCGGCTTATAACCGGCTAATAGCCGTTTTCACTGAATTTCTTATAGCCGATACCTAAACGGCTAATAGCCGGCTTATAACCGGCTAATAGCCGTCGCTCAACAACAAATGTAAGCGGCTACTAACCGGCTATAAGCCGGCTTATAGCCGGCTATACAAATTGTAGCCGGTTTATAGCCGGCTTATAACCGGCTTATAGCCGGTCGGTGATCTACCAATTTCCCAAAGTTTTACTGTTCATGCAGGACATCTGCAAAATAATCCCGCACCTACTATACAATATACATGTTGTCTCTGCAAAGCAAGTCAGATTTAGCGTCCAAATCAAAGTCGTATTTCCACAAGTGCTAATAATAATTTTACTAATTTTTACCGAGATTGCCTCTGGGAAACCATAATTTCACTGCACAGCAGCTACAGGGCAATAAGAGTACAATAATTTACTAATCCTGAAAATTCTGATGGTTTCAAATAAATACGTAAGTGTGTATATTATGTCGTCTCGTGTCAGGCACGTAGCCAGGGGGGGGGGGGCTAGGGGGGCGGCAGCCCCCCCGGAAAAATCGAACCCCAGAAAAAAGATAAGCCCCCTAGTCCCCATGGTCGCCTGGTAACTGGGCTGTGTTTATGACTGCAGTCAGTCAAAAATTTGAACTGTGGATTAGTAAATATATGTCATTAAATCCAAGCAAACATTCTAGAAGACTTCTATAATTATAGTCAATAGTGTCCCCTAGACCGTAGGAAATGTAAAAATCTGAAGACGATGAGGCCTGAGTAAGTCGTAAATTCTGATTGGAGAATGCAGATTGCTGTTGTGAAGTTACCAAATTTACGTGAGTACTTGATTCTTTTCAATCCCAGTTTATTGCTGTCCTACAAATTTCTTAAATGCCAAATGTCGTCTAAAACACCCTGTTTCGCAAAAAATTTCCGGGGGGCTGCGCCCCCCTAGCCCCCGCTAGGGGCTGCGCCCCCAGACCCCTGCCACAGCTTGATTGGACGCGTCGGCTCGCTTCGCTCGCCGACAGCCCCCCTCAAAGAAAAATCCTGACTACGTCCCTGTCTCGTGTCTCTATTTCACATATCTAAACAAAATTCCTAACCTACCACATTCCTTCAGCGATAGCACTGCTGGACGTGCTGTTCATAGTGGTTTGTGTCCCAGAGTCTTTGCCAACACGACCCAAAACGTGGGGTGCTCCAATCACATGGGAACAGGCGGACCCCTTCTCGGTTAGTTATCTTTCTTGGACTTGAATATCTTTGTAGTTATTTGAAATGTATCATAGATTTTCGAAGCTGAAATTCGACAAATGAACGCTTTTTACTTGTGGTAAACCTTGAATTCATCCTCAGTTTCATTTCCCTGACCGACATCCAATATAACTAAACTTTATACCTAATCCTACTCTCAGACTCTGAGGTCAGGTATGGGCAACCACCACATCCTACAACTGGGCCTGATCATCCTACTGTCCTACCTACCTGAAGCAGCTCAGTACAGCTGTATGTTCCTCTATCTCAGACAGGTACAATGAATCCAGCAACCCCTTTCAGGGTTGCCATATCCCAGAGGCAGGCAGGGCATCCTCGTGCTATCCTTTCGTGGGCCATCTAGGTCCAGCATCTCATTTTTAAAAAGAAGTCAATTACTATTATTTTCTGCGGGTAGAGGACCTTTGGACTGCCTCCAGTGTTTTAATGTTTTAGTCTTGAACTTTGTGAGGATTCCAAATAGCAGAGCGGTACTGGGTAGATACGGAAAATAGTTTTATCAAGGAAAGTCATAGTAATTCTCGATATGTTTTCGAACGTGCCAAGTACCCATGAAGCCATTTTGTTGGCAATAATTCTATTTTGACCAAGGAATTATGGTGTTAATACCATCCAGAAGATAAGTAGGATCTGTCTCCAATTCTTTAAATCTAGACACTTTTGTGTCGTCGGTAAAATAATTTATCCTAGGTTTCTTAACCACGCCTTTTAAATCATTGACATAGACTAAGAACAGGAGAGGGCCTAGGCCAGATTGTTGAGGAACGCTGCTAAGAATTCCTGTCATGTCCGATGTCGCAGACGTCTCCATAACCCGGCTAGACAACCGTCTCCTAACTAAACCTTATACCGGGCGAGGAAGACCTAGTTGTTGAAAGTTTTATTTCTAAGAAAGAGTCTTATGGTATTAGTATGAACAAAATATTTTCTACTAAGCGCTCTGAAAACCTAAAAATAATATAAAACTGGAGTGGGGTTAAAACAGATGTCTTATCGCAAAAGTCGGAAACAGCTTGTATGGCATTATTGGTACGATAGGGAGCTTTTGATTGGACAAAGAGACATTTCATAGAACATTTTTACCCATATTGTTGCACCTGCTGTTTTTAATCATAAGTGTCTGAAATTTAAACTACATTTTACTGATGAGTCTTATTAATAAACTGTGTTCAGGTTATACACTTCTCGGCGGATGAGGTTGCAACGTTCATCGCAGTTATCGGTGTCCTATCGGTCACATTCCAAACTCTGATCCTGGCATTCCTGTATAACTGTGTGGGCCACAAGACCACTATGGTAATAGGACTGGCATTCCAGGTCTTACAACTGGTTTGGTTCGGACTAGGGCTCAGCAAGTGGTGAGTCTTCGTTCTCCTATCTAGATGACATAATGGGATATTATTATGATTAATGATGTAACTGAATACAATTATAATATTGCATATTTTTATAATTAAAACATTTGTAGTCTCTTTTAGATATGACATAATGCTGATAAAACTTTAATGAGATTCTATACTATGCACATTAATATCCATGTAGAATATCAAATTGTTAAAGTGTAGGCTATAAGATGTAGGATAGATGATGTAGGATGTAGGATACTAATGTTAGACGTATGTCGTATGGAAGAGATAATGAGGTGATGTACCATCCCAGGATGATGTGGTGTGCGGGAGTGCTAGCTGCTGCTAGTTCAATAACCTACCCAGCTATCAGCGCCTACGCTAGTCAGAACGCCGACTCAGAACAGCAGGGTATGTTAGCTAGCCCCCTGTCTAGCCCCCTGTTTAGCCCCCTGTCTAGCCCCCTGTCTAGCCCCCTGTCTAGCCCCCTGTCTAGCCCCCTGTTTAGCCCCCCCCCCCCCCTGTCATATCACTTATGTAATATGTATTTCCACTGATCCTTCACTGAATGGCTCAAATCTCCACTTGAAATTCCAAGTTCTAAGAACTAATCACAAACTCTCCCACACTCTTCACGTACTATTTCGTCAGGTTTACTGCAAGGTATCTTGACTGGAATCAGAGGACTGAGTAATGGGTTTGGGCCGGCTGTGTTTGGTCTCCTATTCTTCTTCTTCCATGTTGAACTGGACGAAACTGTGCTGGACGAAAGTATACCTAAAGTTGCAGAGGAGGACCTTGGCAGATTTACTTCAGTAAGTGTAGATTTCTCATTTCTCTAGTGGGCTAAGTTAAACATTGAAATTGAAGGCTATTGATTCCAATTTCGCATACTTTTTAATTGAACCTGAATTTTCACTACATCACCATTCCTCGATCACCATATTATTAAAATTAACTTTTCCTCACCGATTTTAAATGCCTATTTCTCAGATGTCCCTACCTGGTGGACCCTTCCTGTTTGGCGCCCTGCTCGCATTCATCGCCCTCCTCATCACAATGTCCCTCCCTGACGATGCGCCACACAAGGTCGACCTTAAGAAAAAGACTGATATAGACAACGATTCACTAGAATCTGGATTTGTTAATCAAGATCTCAGTCCCCTTTTGTCAGACTCTATAGCGTAGTGTTCCCAGAATGTTGTATTAATTGTTCGGAGAGCACGTGCGCTGCTGTATTTTCTAAGCTATAGTATGACTTGTTTGTGTGTGTGTGTGGCTGGCTTGCAGTACATGTAGACTTCATTAGTAGGGGTTGGATAGGATTTTTAATTGTATATGTTAACTTAATTGTTACAATTTAAACTTTTATACACAATCTTAAGTCTTAATCGTGATCTTCTCTCGCATATATGTTTTTTGGTCGAAAAGTAGGTCGACAGAGCGTTTATAACGCTCAGCTAATCTCCTTATTTCTTTATGGATTTTCATCGTGCTGCTAGCATACTTATTAATTTATTTTGTTGAGTGTTTCGATACAGCAATGTTCCTTACATGATTCTTGTCACGCTTTCACTCATTAATGAACTTCGTTGCGTTGTCTAATACGATTATAGTTAATATTAAACCTTCTTCTAGATCTAGTGGTTTCAATACAAGTGGTTTGAACTTTCAATCCAGTATCAGCATATTTTGTTATGTAAATGTATTTTATTGATATGAATGCGTACTACCAACCGAGGTATGAGTTTTCAGAAGTCTTCGGTTTATGAGTCTTTTGTTTTGGGAATGTAATTTTTGAGAATTATTACGACCAAATGTTTTTTAATTTTGTCTACCATTGCAGTTGTCTGTTAGTGTTGATACAACAGAGTTAACAGCAGTTTCAAGTGAAACGAGTGTAGCAGAAAATTTCATAGTCGGTCCTTCGTGGTGAGCTGTTTCCCCCGAAGTACCCACTACTAGCCCTCCTTGTTTCATCAACTTTCTTGATATACAGGGTGGTCCAACAAGCAACGATAGGGATATTTGATTAAATAGTCACTATTATATCTCAGCAGCGGATTTCGATATCCGATTAGGCTCTTGTATTTACATTTTCGAGAGACCGGTATTTCAACCTTAAGTTTCTAATTTAAGCATCAGTTTAACTTCAAGCCACTTCGTTGTAGATATGTTGTGCCCGAGATAGATAAGGACCATCGGTGATCGGACTACCTGGATGTTGCGCGTAAATAGCTACTACTCGATTAAATTCGATCGGACGGACGATCGAATGCGCGCACGTACATTCGCCACTTATTATAATGGGTTGACACGTAATAAACTATACCGCGCGCTACTGTAAATTCGGCCAAATGAGCCTAACTCGATGGGGCCGGGCGTCGCTTCCAATCCGCGCTCAGGCCCAAAACTCATTCGCCTTATCTATAGAAAATTCAAGCGTCATTCCACAAATCCAATTAAACTGATATAAATTTGATTGTTTGCACTTTGCACAATTTATTTATTATCTTATCTCAAAGCTTAGATTTTCGTAACACGTAAATAATACGCAAATTTGCAGGAATTATGTTAGATTTCACTTCGTTAGAATTCCGTTCGGACAGGAATTTTGTTCTAGCGAATTGATTTCTCGCGCCTAATAATATATAATGCTTTTGAACCTGGTAGATATTGAATCATCATGTTCAGCAGAAAAGGATAGACCTCTACACTCTTCAGATAATTTATTGTCCGTCATGACAGACATGACTCATGACTCCAGCATAAAATATTACTAAGTAGGACAAGTAAGTGATTTATGATCTAATATATGGAAGCTTGAACTTTTGATCACCAGACTTATTAATACAGTAGCTGTCTTCTAAATAGTGATGGCTGAACGTTGATTTAAAGCTAACGCGTGTCCCTCATGATCCATCATGGATGATGGACTATTCAGTTTTTGTGTAAGATAGGTTCACGTTTTCAGAGTTAAAGCCTTCATTATCATTTGGAGAGTTGAGATATGATCGCGAAAAACTAATAGTAAATACCTATTTGTATTCTTTACTAGCTTTTAAAACTCTCATTCAACGTTTGTAAGATTATAAATGATCGGTATGATTTCGTGATTTCTCAGAAACTGACCTACAAATAGTAACCTTGATGCACAGCAGCTGGACTCGCTAACAGTCATCACAGATCTCTAACTTAACAATTGTTTTGTCGCCATCAGCGTCAGAGATCTGGCCATCTATACTTTAACAACAGCTGATCCGAACTGCCAATACGTTATTGTAAGCTAATTCCAAGAAAAATATATCAGGTGCGCATCTTCTATCTAATTTTACGATGCACTAGTACAGCGGTTCAGACATCGAACTGGAGCGTGTTATTTGTCAGTTCTATTCATCAATTGTCAAGAGACACATACAGTAAAATATGTGAGCTGTACGGATATCTGCTCGTTGCAGACGACTCTATTAATAACACCACTCAGAGGGGAAGGAGTCCGTCAGACTGTCTACAGATTGACACTACCAGAGCATGTGTGAGTGAGGATATAACATCTTGAGCGAGAGAGCGAGGTGACATGCAGTTGACGGGTAATTGGGTGGTCTGAGAGGAACAGTTGAAGAGACACTGCACCTGGCGTCGCTAATCCTGATACAGCCAGCAACTCTTGTGATTAATGGTAATGTTACCAGGGAAACATGACCATATATGGTGGTAACTATCATTTCACGAACACAGTATATCTTGACAAATTGCACCCTAATGACTCTCCTCATGATCAGCCCTTTTGTCATTGAGAGTAGCTCTTTTCACCTCCCCGGCATTGAACTGTTAATTAGAAGGACTAGGTTCAGTGATATCGTGTATCAGAAGAAAGACTTGCATTTATTCATATGCATGCTATTATTACGTTCCACAATGATCTCACCCAGTAAAGTGATACGGGACCCCAGTCTGATATGTTATACTGTCAAATATACTTTCCCAGCTAATATGAGTAGGATTAATGGCCCGGGTACTCAGAGGGGGCTAGTTTAAGCATGCCCGTCAGTGCGGCCAGTGACAGATCACCCTCCACACGGCACTACTCATGAACAATAAAATCATCTCCCGTGAGCTCACACCCTCGATCTAATTACGGTTGAATATGAAATGTTTCTTCTCTCTGTGAGCCTCTTAAAGCGGTGGCGGTCTCTCTGAGCACTGAAGTCATCGTAAACGTGCAAATTGAATAACGATATAATGGGTCGCAAATTCAATCCGAGCGTTTTGATAAGGTGTATTGAGATTTCTATAGAAAGGAGACCTACACAGAGAAGTTACACTAGAGAAGGTATTGATATGTCCCAACAGCGGCTCAAATTTCGGGAAAATAAGGGTAAAATTCAGATAAAATTAAAGTTGTCTACCTACCAAATTTGGAGAAGACATTGTCTTGGATTGAATCTGATCATTCGATTAATTTAGTTGATTGAAGGGGGTGATTACTGGTGATACGGACAGGGTCGTTATGGTGATTACCGATTAAGTATCAGTAAATCCATCAAATTCACCACGTGTTAAGATTGCCTCCCCACTAACAGCAGCTGAGCTGTCCTATGATACAAGATTAAAATAGTTTCACAGCTAAGTATGTACCATTATAACAGTCGTATGAAGCGTTATATAAATAGCGCTCATATTATCACCACTACACCGGAGCATCAAGTGACCTGTCATGGAGCATTGTGTTTCTTCTCGCAGTTAAACAGTTGCTCCTCCACTCAATCATCTGACCGGTACCACGAGATCACGTGATAGGAGATTTTACGGAGCAGCTGAAAATAAACGTGCTTTGACGGGGCCTATAGCACGTGTGAACATGCGTTTTACCACGTGTTTCAGTGGACAGCACGTGTTTTAGTGAACAACACGTGCACCATTCAACGGGCCCTAACTTACAGAACATGAAAATGTCCACCGCAGGTATTAATAGTAGTAATATACTAACTCATATATATATAAGCTGACGTACGTAATTTGAGTCACGTGACTTATCTGATACAGACCACGTGGTCTCGAAAGTGAGCCCGGGATTGGCCACACAGATTCATAACGTGAGTAACATTAAAATGTGAGTGTATGCTCGGTTTCACGATGAATTCTGCTTGCAAAAAAGATATTGCTGCACAGCAAGTTTAATAAGTGTTTCAATAGAAGAGAAGCTTCTCCGTTATATTAGAGGGGGGATGACGCGGGTTCAATCTGCATGCAACTAGCTAGGTTAATAAAGAAGTTTTAGAATCTAGCATGTTTGATATAATCTTTAAGTGCATGGTAATAATATTCAACATACTTAGTTAGAGCATCTGGTGCATATTACGAATTTTTCAAAAGACGCAACTCGTCTGGAATCTTCTGTTGAACAGTTTATCTAAATTCTGTAAATTCCTAAGCTGTTGGTTTCGAAGACAGAACTCCATGTTGGCCAGGTGAAAATGCAACTTATTCCTAATTAGAATATGTGTGTTATGTGGGGTAGGGATGTGTGGTGAACATTATTAATATGAGGGATATAACATATTGGAGGGGATGTAGTAAAGTGTCCTCTGGACTACTTATGAAGACTAAACACAGAGACATCAAACAATGTGTCTTGGTGGTGATGGTAGTGCAGATGTTAGCACCGCTGCCACACACACACCACACGTAATATATAGCCATTACAATATGGTCGGTGTTAGTCAAAACAAAAAGTAAAAAGGGCACGGTATTAGGAAAATAGAATTACGTGATCAACAGAACCTTCAAGATTCTGAACCTTGGGGAAATAGTGTGACGTCATCCACAGAACGGTGGAAACTTGTCAACATGGCGTGCCTGGGTCGGGTGTATTTCGGTGACTTGTGGCTGTATTTTAGTGACTGGTACAACCATGCTAGTGACTAGCACGACCGTGCCACAGGGATTACACGCCCTTCATTATTCTAGATATCAAGATATTGCTGATTCGTGTCTTCACCATCCTGCCTTGATATGTGTATTAGCTATATTATATCAAATTATCATACTTTTAATATCACTCATTCACCAATGAGTCGTTTCCTGAATAGAATTCAATATTTTCACCAGGAAGCAAACTCAATAATGTCACAAGCATATTTTAAAAATCGGCGGATATGCGTCAAAAATGTTTATGTACGTGCAGACTTTTAAAATC